TTCTCACTACGATTTTGTCCTCATGCAAGGTGGTGTCAATGAATCAGCTGCGTCGCGAAAACCTCAATACCCCAGACTTGCGGGAGCGACCTTCAGGTAACCATGCATGGAAATCGAAGATATCATAAGAATAGACTTCTACGCTATGCGATATGATATAATATGTATGGACAGCCAATAGGCGGGGGGCGAGACGTAAATTACCGAGATGGAGTGATGGCACAGGTCTAGGTGTCTGGGCGCCAAGGGTGCTTCCCGAGAACGTCATGTGATCCCCGGAGTCCGCCAGACTCCGGCAGACTCGCCGGACTCAACAGTCTCGATATTTTGCCCGGAACTGAAGCTTTCCGCCCCCTCAGGTAACTCTGCAACAACAATCATTACATATCAGTCACTAGGCATACCGTTTGTGTGGCGGTATTGAGATAGACATGCTCCTGGAGGTCATCAGGAGGCTCTCATTTGTATCGTTAGTAGGGCCGCTCAAGTCTTGAGGACGCAGGACGCAGGACGCGTTCAGAAGCCATTGATGGAGGTGATGGGCTGAGCGAGACTAGCCGACAAGCTCGCCTTCGAAACCCCTCGAGCGACGATGACTCTCCTCCCCCCTCACAAAGTGCCTCACAGGTAGTGTCAATCGACGCGGAAAGCTTTCTTCTTGAACACACTCGCGATTCATATTTTTCTTTGAAGTTTGGGACACGACAGACCCCTTGGAGAACAACGGGCACGAGAGATGAGGTTGGTATCTTGCCGTATGCGGCAGGTTCGGCTAGCCCATCACATCCATCAAATGAGCGCTGAGTGCGTCCTGCGTCCTCAATAATTCAGCGGCCCTTTTTGCACACATGTGCGAGTCTGCATCCTCCCGGAGTCGGGTCCCTGATATCCCGCTAGAAGACGCAACGGAGGTAATATGCTTGGTTTGATTTGAGAGGAATAGTGGATACGGTGATACCACGATACATATATGTGCACGTGCTATTCATGATAGGCTTCTTTGCTCGTAAACCTGAGATTACAACATCGCGTAGAATGCCGACCGAGGCCGAGTGGAGCAATGAAGCACCCTACAGCAACTTTGAATGTCCGACGTTCAGGAACCGGCCGGATGCTGAGCCAAACGAAAGTATTATCGACAAAATGATACCAAGCAGACAATGAGTTTGGGAGCATGACAAGCGTAGCATTAACGGCGACGGGGTCTACACTAAGTACGAGGAAGTTACCATCGTCCGCGACGTCCACTGCTACCCGGTCCTTGGTAAGGTCCGTAATCCGGTGGTGGTCTCCCGCCGCTGCCGCCACTACCACCTAAATGCTACGGTCAGCACAAGCCATGAAACGCACGCAGACACAAATCTATGACGTACCGCCGCGGGGCGCAGGCACAGGAGAACGGGGCTTCACGGTCGAGCTTGCCGGAATCACTGCGTTCCTGAACACTTGCATGAGATCGTCGGTGCGGAAGACAGGACCTGCAAATTAGTGGATACGATCAGGGAACAGACAGCGCAGCCCTGAAGAGAAAACCCAGACCATCGAAACTGTTCGGAGTCGGCAGAGTGCCAATGAACCAACTCAGCACGCTTGGCAGCTGCACTCCCTTGTCTTCCTCCCTCTCCTCTTTAAACCGTCTCGGTGGCGGCACATCTCTCTCCCGCTCACGATCCCACATCGGCGAGCCGTGGCGCCTATGCGGCGGACCGTCCCACCTATCCCGGTCGCGTCCTCGTACAGGACCCGGACTCCCCGCCCGAGCACGCTTCGACGGGTAGTCGCGACTCTCGTCGCGGCGGCGGTGGTCAGGAGACGATGCGCGCTTCGTCGAAGACGTCGACGAACCGTGTGGAGTAGGTGTCGACGCGGACTTGGCAGCAGTCTCCGACACGATAGACTGGAGGGTGTCAGTACGACCAAGGAGGCCGCTGCTGCTACCGTTGGTGCGTGTGCCACCGCTGCTTCCGCGGCTTAGGACGAAGCCAAGGTCGCGAGTGGCGATCGAGTCAACGTTTCCGTACTTGTGGCGCTCCGCGAAGCGCTTAATGGGTGGGTCTGACAGTGCAACATAATTCGGTCAGTGACTGGCCAGCTTGAAGACAGCGCATACAGTGACATACCGTTCGGGTAAACCTCGGCCATACGCTTCTCGAGCTTTTGTGCAGCCGCTAAATCACCATATTGATACTCATACCTGGCCCAGCGCTCCCACAATGGCCGCGCCTTGTCCGCAGAGAACGTCCCGATTACACGTTCAAACAAGGCTCTTGCATCTGTAGGCGAAGGGCCCGATCAGCGGATGAAAACCTGGAATATCGTGAAGGCAGACGCACTATTCTCGTCGTTAACGGAGATGAGGAAGCCGAGGTAGCGCAGCACGAATTCTACCTCGTCACCGTACAACTCCATGGCCTTCTCAAAGATTCTGCTCGCTAGAGGTATATCTTTGTTGCCGCAGTGATATTCCATGAGCGCTATAGCAACACTGAAGTAAGCCGACTGGGGCCGTTAAGCATAGAGGAGAGACGGGGTACCTTCAGCTTCATGGACCTCCCACGGCGTCCAGCGATCTCTTCGCGCCTTACCAAAGACATTCCGAGCAGACCTAAGGCCCTCAGCGCGCCTTGCGAATCGAATGTATACAATCCACGCGATGCCATAATCCGTGCGCTTATCAGACAAGTCCTTATTCTTTGGAGGTTTCTCGTCCGACGACTGCGTGCTGAACGACGACTGCTGAGATGCCAGTGCGTCTGCGCCATTGTTCCCGGTCGGGGTCTGACTTTGCCGTTGCTGGGAGCCGTTGGGCGAGTTGGTGGAGGCGTTCACGCGGCTCTCGAGCTGCTCAAGGTCTTTGCGGAGCGTCTCGAGGAACTTTTCGAACGTCGCATGCACTTCTGCAAATTTACCTTGCAGCTCTAGTGCTTCCGCGTATGCGAAGTTCAAGACGAAGCTGCGGGGCGCATGAGCTGGGTACGAGCAGGCTGGGGTATGTGAAGGCATCTCACCTTGCCGAGTTCGCTTCGATACCGGCCTTAAGAAGTGTCAGCGCTTCGTCTGTCTTACCGACGCTGTTCGTCCACACATATGCCATGTACCTGGTGTACCAGGTGCGTTCAGCTATTCTCGTTTATTTTGACATGACTGAAGAAACTAACCAGATCTCAGAGTAGAACCGCATGCGCACGGTTGCCTTCTTGTAGACACTTTGCACCCGCTGGACAAGCGTGTTCCGATTGCTCTCCTCGATCTCTAGAGGATTACTCTCCTCCCACTTCAAGTACAGGCGCCAGCGCGCGACAAGAGCTTTGTCGCCCTGGTTGTACGTCGGAGGCCGGGGCAGCCAGATCGACGGACGCTTGTCCTTACTAGGGGGAGTGGGCGGGTACAGGACGGTGAGGTGCTCTTGCAGCTGGTTGAGGACCGTGCGAGCTTGCATGTGGCTTTCTTGCAGGTCTGAGATGAACTTTTTGGCCTGTGATGACAGATGTGACGGTGGGGTGAACAACGCGTGCGGAATGAGGGAGGCGCAACAGGAGCTGAATCGGCTGGACTCACGGTGATCTTGTTGAGATTGTTCTCGAAGTCTTGGTAGTCTTCCCACAGCCTCTTGACGTTCTCCATCGGAATCTGAACTGCCTGCTGGTAAGCTTTTCGGACAGCGTCCATTTTTTGCTGATCTTCCCAGGTGGTATTCGTCTAACATCATGTCTCGTCAGTCATAACCACACGTCACGCGCACACAATGTCCCTAGAACGGGTCTCGCTGATCGCAGAATACACGGTGGAAGGTCCGAACGGGTTGGGATGGGGGATGCAATGCATAGACACTACACGATGGTACAACGGTTGTAGCGACAAAACCGAGTCCACGGGATGCAGGAGGAAGAAACGAAAGGAGCCGACAGATCAGAGGAAGGAACCGAAGCGAACCCAAGTAAGGGCGTATGATAGCATGCGTTGGTCGTGCACATGACGTGGCGGCTCGGAGTTGTTAAGCGCAGGGCTTCCCGTTACACGAAGCTGCGCGCCTCTTGCACAACTCCAGGCCGTCACGACTGCTGCCTCAGAGGCCATTCGCGTAGAGACGCGGGGTAACGTGACAGCTTGCATTCACAACGCTTTTGCAGCAGATGAGACACGGTAAGTCACACATTGCGTGGGCTTCACGATGGGCACAATCACAGCGATCGAAAGGCAAGAGCACCGGTTCCCTGTGCGATGAATCGAGCGGTGACCTTGTGAGACGGCCATGGGCTCCATCTCCGAAGGCGAGCAGTAACAAAAGAAAAGATGAAAGCACGCTTGTGATCGCACAATGGGTTGGTTCATTACCCGCATAAGGCCACACGAGACACGTCCAGGGACAGATAAGAGGAACACGTCATATACGGCACATACCTCGCTGGCCTTGAGGAAGTTGATGTAGTCCTGCCAGATCTCATAGCTATCTTTGTCTTGGCCCGTATGACCGAGTGCAAAGTCGTAGCACTTCCGGATGACCTCACGTGCGTTGGGGCCAGTAGTTATCCGCCTGTGCGTGGCATTAGCGTGGTTGAAGATATGTCAATACGCGCAGAGCTTCGTACCTGATGTACGTGAGGTAAACCTTGAGAAGATCTACCGAAGGCGATGCTCTCTTCAAGAACTTCTTGAAAAGCTCCTCAGCGTAGCCAAATTGTGACGGATCGTCTAAGAAATGTCGGAGGTAGGCGACTTGGACGGACGGCTGCGCATGCATGTTAGACAAGGACGGTCGCGCAAGGGATAACCACTCAGATGATTCTGACAGTATTTGGGTATGTTTCCAGCATGCCTTCGTACGTTGCCTTGATCTTCTCAATGTCGCCCGACTCCTCCGCGAGGTCAACGAGTCTCAGCCAACCGTCAGCATCGACGGGTTTTTCACGCAGTTGCGCACGCAGCTGGTCCCACTCAGACTGTGGTGGAGGCGTTGGCTCTGCCATGGAGACACTTGGTAGTCGTGGCGGCTCTTGAGTATTGGGTTGGGTTGCTGTCGGAGTAGGGGTCGACGTGGAGGTGGAAGCAACTGGCACTGAAGAAGACTCTTGAAGCTGGCGCAAGGCGTTGAGGATGCCTGCGGACAGTTGTGACTTCTCTTCAACAGATTTGTCGCCATTATCGGAAACTGTCTCGGCCATGGGTTCTGATGGAGGGGGCTCAGACATGTTCAAGACGTGGTAGAAGGACAAAAGCAAGAGACGAATACAATCCAAACACTCGCACTCTGCACATCTGTTCAGTATTTGCCGCTGTTTGTATGGGCGCTCCGTTCCTGCCGAAACCGGACATGGACTCCGGAGGCTCGCGTCGACTTCGCGACTTGACCCCCTTCCATTGTCTGCGTCTGGCTTATAGGTCGCCGGCTCGTCGTTTCCCGCAACGACGCTCACGATGGACGATGTGGTGGTTTTAACCAAGGCCCTCGCCGTAGCGGCTTCGAAAAGCAGAGCCAAGGACAGGAGACATCTCGTCGAAGCGGCGGAGCAAGTCTCGACACACCTCGTGTTGCTGGTACATACTCCTTTATGATGTGATGGAAGCAAACTGCATTTTCCGTTCCACAGAAACTGTCGCTGATATCCGAGCAAGTTGCCGAAAAATTATCCAGCTTCTTGCGCACATCGCTTGCCAATCTATATGCTGGAGTAACTGTGCCCATGCTACGTTTGGTATCCGCAATCTTCGAAACGCTTTATCATGACCGAGTACTTGCTGCCATGGGAAATGGGCAAGATGAACAGCGAGTTCTCTGGGAATCGATTTTGCACGCGTTGCTTTCTGGTGTCTTGGTTAGTTGTTCTCACTTCGCTAGAATTTCTGGCATTGAATGACGCTGTCTGTAGGACTATCTCGACAATAACGCGACGACTGAGGCGAAAGATGCCTTGGGCGACGCGCTCATACCTGTCCTCGGCGATCTATGCTTCTCCCTCTCAGCACCCAAGACAAGTGTCGATCTACGGTGTACGGTACGTCTCCCCGTTCGACAAATATCTCAGGATAACCGACTATATGCGGCTATATATTAGGCATACAATATCCTCATCGACTCGGCTGCCTCGCACCAAGAGAATCAGCGTACATTGCGTGAAGCCAAGGTGCTCGGCGGGGAACGACTCGGTTCCTGCATATGGAGGACGAGAGGTCAGCGAAATGCTGCACCATACACGCTCACTGACGGCTGATGGCATCGTATCCAGACTATCTCGCTCTAGAGAGCCTTCTCAACTTATTCGCTCGAGCACTTCCCTCCACTCGTGGCTCCGCTTCTGGTCGAACACGACGCACGGCTTTCATACACTCTGTTTTCTTGCAGACGGCTCCACCCGAATCCGCTGTGGTCGCGAAGGAGATCACGGATCTCCTGGAGCGAGTTTCGTCAAGCGACTGGGATGAAACATCGCTTCAGATTGTCGACGCGTTGGCGCGAAGCAGCATATATTAGTACGTGCTCGCATTCGACGACGTCTAAACGAGGTCTGATCCACTATTCATACAGTCCTCAGCCATTTGGCGTGCATGAAGTCGTAGTGGGAGGTAAAATATACCCTAGTGATCGCCTATATGCGGATGTAAAAACGTTTCTCGTCAATGTCGTCCTTGAGGTATGTCGTCAAATCACATTACTAGAACTGGACGTGCTTATGCTGGATCCGAACTAGCGTGAGGACCAGTACGAATCTTTGGAAATCTTATACACGACAATCTTGACGATTCGCCTCACCCGGAGCTCTATGGGTCGCCTGCACATTATCCTATCTCTCACCTCACCTCCCAGACTGGGCAAGGATTTGATGAAGATCAAGAAGGATTCAGCAACCGCATTCTCCCTGATGGTCGACGACGAGAGTCGATTTCTACAAGCATTGAAGAGCAGGGGTCTGGTATGCTTGCACTTTCCGTCTGATGTTCTACCCACATATCAACAGAGCCGTGCTTCTACGTAGGCTCCCTTGGTGTCCACCGAGTCGCTGATGACTCATAAACTGTCTCTTGCGACGGAGCCTGCGAGACTCGAACTCGATAGCACTGGACGATTTGTCAAGGAGCCAACCCAGGACGAGGTGTGTGGAATGTGCCAGCCATTTGTTGACTGTAGTTATCCTGATTGTCACGTAGCGCGTCAAGAATCTCTCACAGCGTAACTACTTCTCCGCATGGCACACGCGTTGATGTTGACACGTCGAAACCCAGTCTACAGAACGGACGAACCAAGCGACGATATCGTCTCCGCAGGCGACTCGGACGACTTTGCTATCAACCCGACCATTGAGAATACCTTGCTACGTAAGCCAGCCCATCCTCCAGTTCATGCTGACGAAGCGGGCGAAAAGAGCGCCGAAGGGGACCATTCCAGCTCTCTTACAAAACGGCCATCTGGCAACAGTCCGCAAGCCTTGGTCTCCCCAGATAGTCGGAAGGTGCTCGAAGCGGCGTTTGGAACCAGCGATGACGACCTTTCAGAATTCACCGACGAGGACAGTCCTCTGCCGAAGTCGCGAATTCTCAAGCGAACGAATATGATGACAAGCCTTCCGGGACGCATATCGTTCGAACCGGCGTCTGTTACGGTCCCTGCCCGTCTCGCGCGTGGAGGAGTCAGTAAGTTAGTCTTGGGCTCCGACGACGAAGCACCCCCGGCTCTACCTCTCAAACAAGCATGGAACGCAAGGAAGACTCTCAGACGTGTCCTTACGACCGATACCATACCCGCTGAGAACCCTTCTGCTCCAGCCGAGCCTGATGTGATCACGTCGAACGTGTCGAGTCCAGTATCGGAGAAGATAGGCCGAGTTCTCGTCTCATCGACGGGTTCTGAATGTGTGGCTGGCACTGGCAAGGTTCTGCGCTTCTCTGACGTCGACATCCCTCCTCCTGATTTTAACGCTCCCCTCTCATCTCCGCCTGTCGTGCCCAAGTCTGCGCTCAAGAGCGCTCTCGTCACAAAGCTACCCATGTCCCGCATTCCTGCTTCCGAAGATGTCTTGCTGGACTCCCCTTGCACTGTTGCTGCTGCTTCTAGGTCTACACGATCTGCGATGTCTGTAGTTGCGAAAGCGACTGACGTCCTCGATGATCTCAGTATGTCAAGAATGCACATCATACCTCTCATCTCACTGATCGTAGCCGTAGTTCCTGCTAGCAGCTCTCCCACTCCCGGCGCCAAGAAGTCCGTCAAGGCGGGTCTCCGCAAGAAACAACAGCTCGTGGTGGTCTCTGCTCCGGTCAAGGCTGTCAAGAGGAAGGCTATCCCGGAAAGTTCCGACGATGATGCTCCTCTCGTGCCTCGCGACAAAGAGACTGCAAGTACTGCTCGGCCAGCGAAGCGTGCTCGTACTCGCTCTGGATCTGGGTCTGGTTTTGGTCCTGTCAAATCTACTGCGCTTGTGTCTAAACCAACTCATCGAGACATGTCCGAGACGTCTACAAAAAAGCGCTCTGACGATTCGCCTGCGCTACGGCGACCCATGCAAGCGCGGAAGAGGTACCACGCTCGGAGGGCACGGACCTCATCACCATCTCAGGATGCCGTCGACAAGCTTGGTTCTACATCTGGTCCTACAGTTCCGACTGGGAGTGTGATGAAAGGGACTGCTGTCGATATCGACTATGATGAGCTACCAGCTGGCCCACCTCAGCATTCTGTTCCTCCTGCCGCTGCTGGGACGTCGTGCTCTCCCGCACTTAGCGTTAGAAAGGTATCTGCGAAGAAGGCCACGATGGCGAAGAATGTGGCCGCAATTGTGAAACATGCACGACTGGAGGAGTTAGAGACCAAGGTTGATGTCAAAACCCCTGAAACGAACAACGTCGAGAAGATGAACGACCTCAGTGACTCAGTGAAGGACGGTCAAGAGATGAAGACGCATATGACTACGAGAGCAAGGAACGCCGCACGACCTGAGGGCGCCGACAAACGAGCGAAGGCTAAGAAGGTACAACCTAGTGCGAAGGCGGGTGGAGCGCCGGCAAGTATGCACAAGTCGGACGACGTGGCCGTCGTAGATCAGAACTTGAAACCCAATGCGGGCAAGGAGGAGGCTGAGACGGGGGTTATTCCCCGCGTACTTCCTTGGCCTCGTAGAGCAGCAAAAGGCGCGATGAAGGTACAGGAAGTAGAGAGGCCCCCGCTCAAAGCCCCCAAGGAGGACGCAGAATCTGCGTCTGCCGCAGCTCATTCTTCCGATCTAGTACCAGTCACGGATCCTCTATGTGCCCGCGCTGCTGACTTGCACACTCATCAAGGCAGCGAAGGAGTAATGGAGATCACAAAGACACGGATGAATCAAGACTATACCGACGTGCCCGCAGCTCCTGTCGCCGAAGATCTTCTCGCTTCTGACCCCTCGAACCTACCTGTGAGTTGGATCCGATGTGTTACTCAGATCAATCTGACATGACACTAGTTCCTCGACGACATTCAGCCGTCGCAGCCGGAGATGGTGTTCTCCGATTTGTCCACGGCGGAGGTCTCAGGGCAGATCATCCACTCTTCTTCTGCACAGGTGATAACAAACAGTTTTGCTCGAATTGCTAGGTTCTTATCAGGCCATAGGCAACCAAGCTCCGCTCCACTAAACCGAAGGTGGCCGAAATGCCGTGGGACACAGTCGCACAGCGTATCCCGTATTCTCATGTCGACGCGTTGCTCGCTAGTGAACACAATGCTACCAAGCATGCACTCGTAAGTATTCTGGACAAGACGCCAATGCACGGTCTTCCACCCTGGCCGCCCGTGGAGAAGTGCAACACGATCGTCTCAGCCGCTCCTCAATCCAACGTAAACACGATAGCCGAGAAGATAGACGGCGTGATGGGGGTATGTCGCAATGTCTGATTTCCCTTATGTTATTGACATTCACTGGCTTTGGAGTCAACGACAACCGTTGCTGCATCCCCCACTATACAGGTCAAGCAGGAGCAGGAGGTCATCGACTTAACGTTCGACTCCCCTCCTAAGACTGCGGCCAAGATAGTCAAGTCGGAGGCTGCTCCCGTCCATAGACCTCACGAGGGTATCGGTGTCTCGCGTGTTGTGACAACTGGGAACGCTCTCTTCTGCGCTGGGAAGGGAGAAAGACTCGTTCCTAACCCTTTCCAGCACCTCCCTCAACCCGCCCAGCGTTCTCGTGCAGTTAGGTTTACGTCTCCGACTCAGCTCCCGTCGGGGTCTGCTCGCCGTGAACACGACTACGTCAAGAAACAACAGGAGACTCTTACATCCGCCACACGTGGGGCACGCGGGGCGCGTGTCCTCACCAAGGACTTCAACGAAGGTGACGAGACACTCGTGGACATCAACACCGGTGTCGGCGATCCCGGCTTAGAAGCCATCGTGAGCGTCTTGAACAAGCTTCACCAGGCACGTATGTCTACGGGCGTGTTCCGGCTGCGCGGCTCAGGATATCTTTACAGGTCACCGTTAGAAGTATCGCGAACAAGTTCGAAGGTGTCAGACATGAAGCTCGTGTCGGTCGCGACGAACTCTTGCGTTATGCCGCTGCCGACCTACAGGCGCTTCGCATCCAAAGGTAGCTTCACTTGACCTTTCGAGTCCACTGCGCTGAGTTCCTGCCGCGTAGCATCACCCATTTCAATAGGCTTGTCGATCTCGAAGTCGGGTACGCCACAATCGGAAGGAATATGATCCATAGGACCGAGGACTTGATGAGATCGAATCAACAGGCGTGTGTTGCTCTTACGGCTGCTATCAAAAAGCACGACCGGGGTATGCTTCCCAACCAGATGCCTGCTACGCTTATTACCCTCAAGCTGTAGCATCGTTATTATTTTTCTTGTCACTTTGCGTATGGCATGATCGAATTATGCTTTCTGCTACGTAGAACTTCCTGGACATTAGAATAACTGATATCAAGTGGTTGGGTCAGAAACGACCTTGAATTGGATCGCAATCAGTTGTCGGCCGATCAAACGACGAAATACTATCAGAACTGCCCTCACACGTCAAACCTGCTATAACACTAGGTGAGCGCACACCTCGCGACCATCCTCGCACACCCTTCTGTAGCAGTGGCGAATGTTCCTGAGGCGCTTGATATCTACGACAATGTCCGCAGGGGACAGGCAGATGCGTTGGAAAACAGGGATTTCAATGGCTATAAAAGACGATACACTGAAATTTGCTTGGCTCGGAGCTCGCTACCTCAATGAAATCCGGAAATCCTCTGCGCGGCTGAAGCTGCTTGTTGTTGTAACTTGTTGCTCATTAGATTAGGCTCTAGCACGGAGCAAACCCGTCTGCAGCATTGATACATCTGGCAGGAGAACCGGCAGTAGGACTCATGTATGTGTAAGATTCCGCGACCTGGGGACTCCTTATTCGTTCTTGTATATTAGCGTCTGCATTGTATCCGTTAAAACTGACTCTCGGCGCCTTACACCGAACAATGCATGCCGCTCCAGCGTAGAACATCCTCTCTCTCTCGCATCGTTGCCAAGAGAACTCGCTCATAACATACAAACATTACTCAGACAACAGTCCATAGCGTACTGATCGATCTACAAACTAACTTAAAGGTGCTAACTGCACCTCAAGCGGCACTTCACCGCGCGTACGGGTGGTAGCTGTGCTGTCCCCTCTGCCCCGCCCGCTGCGGCCCAACCCCGCCGGCCGGTCCCGTCGGGGCGTTCCTCGGGCCCCTCGGGACGTTAGGTCCCAGCGAGCCCGGCCCATTCTGCAAGCCCATTGCGCCCCCAGGGCCCATGCCTCCGCCCCTTCCCATGCCCATTCCAGGACCGCCCATCATCGCCCCTCCACGCATGCCCATCCCGCCGCCCATGGCACCACCGTACTGCCCGCCCATCATGCCCGGATTCATGCCGCCCATCATCGGGTTCATGCCCCCGATCTGCGAGATCATGCGTGTGTAGAGCTGTGCGAGTGCCTGCGGGTCGAATGATGCGTTGCCAGCTGGCGCGCCAGCGGCCGCACCTGCCCCGCTGGCGACAGCTTGTCCGCTGTAGTTTTGGTTGCCGTACGCACCGCCGCCCCCGCCAGCGTAGTTCTGGTTGCTGTATCCGCTGCGCGAGGTTTGCCCGCCGCCTTCGGCGTAGGCCTCGCGCTGCGAGCGGGGCTGAGCGAGTTTGACGTCGATCTGCAGCGTAATTGTGAGCACAAGGGCAGAAGATGCGAACAGGAACGGTCAAAGCTCACCAGCTTGCCGTCAATCTGCAGGTTGCCGAAGCCAAGCATAGGCTCGACATTGACGTTTTCGAACGAGACAAAGCCAAAGCCTTTGCTCCGTCCCGTCTCACGATCGAGCATGACGGTGGCATCGACGACCTTGCCGAACTGGGTGAAGTACTCGCGCATCGATTCGGACGTGACGGATCCGGGGAGGCCACCAATGAAGAGCTTAGTCGCACGCTGGTGCTCCTGCCGAGGGATCGCGCGCTTAGGGTCGATCTATGAGAAGGATAGCCAATGATGAGCGATCACTATACGAGACACAAGGCTATCACGACACAACGTACGATCTTGCCGTCTAGGAAGTGCTCGCGAACCATGACGGCGTTCACGGATGCGGGGTCCTCGAACGTGAGGAATGCGAAGCAGCGGGAGCGACCCGCCGCGTCGCGCATAATGGTGCACGCCTCGACTTTGCCAAATTGTGAGAAGTACTTTTTCAACGCCTCTGCAACAACTGTTCAGCGCTACTATACACGAGAAAACGAACCGCCATGATGTATGTACCATCTGTTGTATCCCAGTTCAAGCCGCCGATAAACATTTTGCTACAATACAACCGCCGGTTTGCAAGCACGCGGGACGAGATGCGGGACGCGGGGTACATGGAAAGAAAGCGCTGTCATTAGCATCCGATACCTAGAACAAAAAGCAGTCATGACAAGGAGGAGAAAGTGGACGACTCTACTGTGTGCGACAGTGCTAGCCTAGACCTAGAAAAGCCGACGTGCTAGTGCATGCTAGTGCTAGCTAGGTGAGGGCGACGTTGCTACCGCAAGGGCATTGCTATCGTCTCGTATCTATCACCGGTCCCGAGGCGACTTCCAACCCAGACAAGCCACACAGCGAGCGCCAGTAGAGAGTCGAGAGCTATCAATGTTAGTCGCATAGCGGACCAGACACTCACCCCTCCTCTTTCATTTCCGAAGGCCGTACGGGCCGGTCGACTCCGGGGGCACCCTGGTAGCTATCGTGCCTTGGCGGTGCGGGCTCGCTATAATCCAGTTGTCGTTCTTGATAGGTAGGTATCTGCTGTGTAGGTGAGGTGTAAGAGGGAATAGCGCTGGTTCCGGAATCGTCGGACGATGACACTTGTGGCTTGACATCTTCGCGAGGCGGCGCAATTGCCGGCTTTGGAGATTGCGTTACTTCTTGCTTGACAGGAGGGTTTTTTTCTTCCTTTGGAGGCTCGTGGGCTTCTGCCTTGCCATGGGAGTTGGGGTCTTGTAAAGGAACTGCAAACTCGTTCTCGTCATTTGCGTAAAGATCTGAGAACGTTGGTTAGCACGCCAGCAAGGGTCGGATGAAAAGGCATAGGCAGTATATGGAGATCGATAGGAGCCTGGTCTGGAATACCAAGGGCAAAGGTCGTGACGCTCGGCAACCACGCGCATGTTATCCATGTACAGCTCAGGGCAATACCACAAACCATAATGTGACCCATTGCCAAATGGCGTCTCCGTGGGGCAACACACAGCACGAATGATAACGCAAAAGACGAGTATTCCAACTCAACACTGCCGCCATCGACACGAACCCGCATATACGCAGGTGTGCTGTATTCTACATGGCCCTCTGTGACCGACCACAACTTTTAGGCGAGGGCAGCTTGGGATTGCATACTGGACGGGGCCACAGCCGGAAGGGAAGGGTCGAGTCAGGTTGAGCGTACTCACCACCGTACAGATCAGCGTCAAGGTCAGACATCTTGAGCTAGACTAAAGACAGGCCGAGTCGAACCAGGCGGGCGGATGGATGTACAGACAGAGAGGGAAAACGAAGCTGGAGCCGGGAGATGATGGTCAGGAAGAGAGGACGAAGGGCGCTCCCCCTGATGACTGAGCGTCCCGTTCTGTCGGAGCTTTGCCGGGATATCAAAAACCAAGCGGGCCCCGAAATGCGGATTACCGCAGGATATGCGGGGCGTGTCTTCCTCGATCAGGTCCCGCAATCGGGCTTTAAATCATTTCGTATTTTCGGCCCCAGACTCACACTACCATGTGCCGCACACAGTCATTTTGCCCCGGCTGCCCTGGTCATGGCTTGGATCTCTGTGGTACACCTTCATAAACCTCGCGGCTCCTCACACAGAGTCTACACTCGACGCGGACAGCAGAAGTCGCATAGTCAGAGACTTCACGCGGCGCCCCCACTGCCTAGACACCTGACAGGCGTCATTGACCGCGCGCACCTAGACTTCGCCACCTCGGACGAGCCCTAGCGAGCCCTCCCTGGAACCTGGAATGCCGCAGACCACCTCCCCTAGCCAAGATGTCACCATCGGTATCCTCGGTACGCAGAATCGTTCGTTGAGCGCGAAGCGAAATTGTACTTACCCCGCGTCCCAACCCATAGCTCTGCAGGGCGCCTTTGCCGAGCATCAGGTGATGCTGCAGAAGCTTTCGCTCAAGAAACGAGTCGTCATCGTCCTCATTCGCCAGCCAGAGGATCTCGACAAGTGCGATGCGCTCATCATACCTGGTGGAGGTGCGCACACATCCATTCTACCTGCGTTACGAAGTGGATTAACATATCGCTCGTGTGATTCCATTTCGGACAGAGTCGACGACCATTGCCCTCCTCGCGCGCCTAGCGGGGCTCCTCGAGCCCATACGCGAGTTCCTCAAGACGAAGCCTGTCTGGGGTACATGTGCGGGCGCGATCCTTCTGGCTCAGTGGGTCGAGAATGCAAAGAAGGGCGGGCAGGAGTTATTAGGCGGTATTTCTGTCACCGTCGAGCGCAATGGCTTTGGGTCTCAAGTTGAGTCGTTCGAGGCGCCTCTGGAGGTGGAGGGTCTCCGCGAGTCCAACCGCCCCTTCCACGGCATCTTCATCCGTGCACCCGTACGTCTTCGATCTTTCTTCCTATGCGGCGAGAAGGCTGACCGCTCGTACTCGTGATCATGTAGGTCGTCGTGAACCTGAAGCCCTCGCCAACAGACCCCCCAATCCAGATCATCTCTCGCATATCCGCTTCCCTCCTACCCGCGAGTCAGACAGTCATTCCCCCTGACGAGGACGACACAGACCCTCGAGACCCACGTACGATCGTCGCGCTTCGGCAAGGCCTGCACCTTCTCACCACCTTCCACCCCGAGCTCACTAAGGACGATCGCTTCCACGAGTACTTCGTACGGGAGTGCGTTCTGCCAACGCTCGGCTCGCGCTCGTCTTCCCCGGCTTGATTAATCGCGGTATCTACTTGATTTAACGGGACACAATGACTATGATGATAGACGTTCTCCTATATCACATCGCTACGTTTTCCGTCTTGCTTCGTGCTGGGCCATAACGTACGTTCCTCCCCCAAATATCCTTTTGAGGTGTGGGTTGAGGTCATCAGTTACCAGAGACAATGTTAGCTGCCGGATAAGCTTCTCAGGTACCCGCAGGTCAAACTTACATGACTATTACGGTTCGATTGATGAATCCCAGTGAGAACTTACATGGGCTCAGCTGGTTGACGTCGGCGAAAGTCGTGTCAGAGCGGTTGAGATCGGGAGGTCTTGGTTGATATTGGGCGGACGATTCTGGGCGCTCAATACATGTCTCTAACTGACCGGATCGGACAGGCAGTACGCATGTCCTGACACCGGTGACGTCGACTTAAGCCTGTCTCTAGCTTGTGTCTAACCTGTCCGTAGCATGTCTGTAGCTATGCAATACATAATTACCGTATGTCCACATCAGTACACATGTCCTTTGGGTTAGCCATCCCAGGTGTCTGTGTGTGCGGCTGTTTGCTCCTACTGCCAAGCCCGCAAACTTCTACAATTATTTCGCCGCTCCACTGCCCCTCACCCGCTCATGCTGTTCTGTTACTCAAGGAGTTAAGGATGAGGGGGAGGATGAGGATGAGTCGGACGCAAGGAGGTGCTGGATGCAAAGAGGAGTTCTTTGGTATGCATATCAACATCGCACATTTGCATTTTACACACCGTTTTCCCTCTTTTTCCCAATCTCAATCGCTCCTTCTCAGTGAAGAGTAGTGTTACTCCATGCCCATCTGCTGCTGCATTCTTTCCCTTTTCTCTCCATCAATATCCTTCCTCGGTGAGGAGGGTAAGAATATGACGTCATGCGCTTTAAGCGCCGACGTTCAGATTCGTTCAAGGTACGCCTTGCCTTCTTGTCCACTACGCCTACCATCCCTATCCCCTCGCATGCAAGCTGTCTCCCCTAGGGTTTTCAGACTTACATATCCAACACTCGATCCCATGCATAGCAACTACAGCAAGCCACAACCAAGATGTCGCTTTCATGAATCATAGGTACTTCCTCAAGACACCTCAAAAGAATGGGCACCCCTGGCATGACTGCGCACTGGCCTCCCCAACAGGAAGGGGGCAAAGTACTTACCAGACTCCAGACACTCGCTGATCGCATCAGGTACTGGGTTCACTGACTGTTGTAGAGGGATTTGTGCATGCAGATGGTGCACGGAAGCCGATGGTATGCAGGAAGCCTCTGAGGCGCACTACAAGACCCTAAGTGCCTCGGATCGCAGGGTAAGTCGCCCGAACCGCGTCCCTGTGTCTGGTTGCTCAAAGTCTCGACGCAGAAACTCTGACGCATTGCTCCCTCGTAGACGGTATGTGAGGAGCACCGCTATTGAGCCCCAGTGCCGAGCCCTACTGATGAGGTCACCTTCAGGTCTTCCCAAGTATCGCAACTGGCCGCGTTGAAGTCGAACGTCAGAAGCGTCGGCCTCACATCTGTCTCTATGGCTTGCATCCGGGCAGCTCTACGACCGCATGACACACATGCTAGTGGCATGAGAGGCAGCTCTCGTTGGTATCCCACCACATTCAACTGTTTCCAGTCTGCTCCGCCTCCATTCGCCGGTTTCTGATTGTAGCTGTATCGTACCGTGTAGCCATACGACCGCATACCAGTTTATACAGTAGTAATCATTCATATCCTATGACGTGTATCGACGACAACCATCCCTGCCCGACCAGACCCCAGCGCAACCCAAGTGCAACCAGCCGCAACCGATAACATACTAGCTGACCCGACGTATGGTTGTATAGCATTGTGCGACCATACCACCTTATCCAACCGCAT